GTGGCTGAAATTCTAGAGTGTTTTATCCTGGTCCACAGATGAAGTCCCTTTTCAAACATTGGTTTTCACTTTGTGAGGAAGATGGCCTTTTAATGTTCATCCAAACATAGAGACAGAGGATGTAGCCTGACTATTCTCGCCTCCCCCACCCCGCCACAGGTTAGTGGTCAGAGAGCTTCCTTATAAACCCACAAAGTACATCAGAATGTTTCTGGCATGAGAGAGGCCATACTTTCTCGTAGTTTCTTACTTTATAGAAAAATTCAGATGACACAGTTGACTCTTAATGGTCAACCCGATATCTGGGATCTGGATTGTTGTGGGTTAGTTTGGGCTTTTTAAAAATTTGTGTCTTTTCAAAACTTTCATAGACTGCATACTTCTTATAGAAGACCTTTAGAGCCGCTAAGATTAAGTATATCTTCAATTGGGCATATCCTCCCGGACCCCTGCAAAAGTGTTCTTTGTTTTAACTTTTGTTCCTTGTACTGTGGCTACTATACCCACAGTTCTCTAGGCATAAAACACACCACTTTCTAATTCACTCCCCAGACTCTTTCTGTTCTTTCAATATTTTAATTCCAGAATTAGTATTTCCCAAGGCCATCAGTAGTTGATAAGTACTGACAATCTCTTCTGTGTTCACTATAGTATAAGTGAATAAGGAGAGAATGACAAGACATGGTCATTAACTTTAAAGAACTTAGTATCTAGTAGAGGAGACACCCTATGTACACCAAAATAGTAGACAGTATATAATTAAATGCTAAATTTGGGCACAGATTTTTAAGTGTTAGAAGTTGGAGGGAAGAAAGAGATGATGAAGGCATAATTGTCAGATACAAGTTCGTGGAGATACAGAATTTTAACTAGATTTGAAACAACATAGATTGGAATTCAGTTGTAATTTTAAATGTATCTTCATTTATCTTAATCTATGGGAAAAATTGATGAATATAGTGAGTTTAAGATTTAGGAACAATTTGGGAGCCTTTTCATGTAAAAGACTAGTGAGTTGTATAATTTGATAGAAGCAGATGGTTTCTTTCACTGCATATCAGCCTATCAGATAAATCTTTCAGTTTTATTTTGCCTCAATTCAGCAATCTCAAAAGGCTGCCTTCTTTTGTAGCTTTGATTCAAACTATGCTAATGTTCTAGATACTGAGCGATCTGCCAGCCTTTTGCCCCCGGAACTCTTGCTTTTTTGTGCTGTGACAGGGGTGTGTGTGTGTCTGTGTGTGCGTGGTGTGTGCTGACATAGGCTTTCCATTCCCAGATGATAAGGCTGTGTGCAGTTTCTGTCCATCCACCTTTATGTCCCATCTCGAGATTGAGCACCTCTTGATACTCTCCCTGAGATGTCTCCCACCCACTGATTTTTTTTTCTTCCTCCGATTACCCCTGAAATTAGTTTCTGTTAAAAAGACAAGCTTTTATCTTTATGTTTTCTAATAATTTAGAGTTTTATACTTCTCTCTTCTGGTTCAGTAAGTTCTTTGAAGGTTTTTTTCCTTCTGTTGTTAACATCATATTTGATACTTAATTGTTCCTACCAGCACGGTTTATTACCCTGGAAGTGTATTTCATTAAATCAGTAACCTTTTGGAAACTATTGTTTTTGTTATGTGCTGTCAAGTTGGAACCGACCCACAGCTGTCTCCCCGGCTTTCAGAGGCTGTAACTTGAGAAGAGATTGCTCATCTTTCTTCTAAGGAGCACCTGGTGAATTTGAATCGCATGCCTTTGGGTTGGCACTGCAATTCCTTACCACTAGGTCACCACAGTCACTGTTAGTTATAATATCAGATTCCTGGGTGGCACAAAAAGAAAGGAAAATAAAATCACTTAAACCAGCCCACCAGTGGATAAATGTTCTTTGTTGTACTATGCCATCAAGTCAGAACTGACTCACAGCTGGCGCTCCATCTAGTTTTCAGAGGCTGTAAATCACACCTGAGGAGATTACCATCCTTATCCCATAGAGTAACTAGTAGATTTGAACTACCTGCCTTTGACAGTATAACTTCTTGCTACAGAGCTATCAGAGCTCTTGATAGGATAATACCTGGGAATGGACCTACTTAGGATGGCATAGGATCAAGTAGAGTTTCATTCTACAGTACCTGCGATCACTGTGATTTGGAGCTATCTCTTTGACACTTAAAAGTAGCAAGAGAATGTAAAAGATTTATCTAGTAAGAACTCCAAAGTGACACACTACAAGGACTAAAATACAGCTACATAGGTGGAAGCTCATTCCCTGCTCATGGGTTCTAAGACTTAGTATTTCATGTAGCACTCTGAAGCAATCTATAGCTAGAATGTAATCTTAATCCAGATACCTTATTTCTTTACTGAAATAAGGGGGGGGGGAAACCTCAGAATTAAACACTATCTATAAATGGAAAGGTAAGAGGTCCAAATACCCAAAACAACACTTAAGAACAGCAAAGTTGGAGACATCCTACTTCCCAGTCTTAAGGCATGTTCTAGAACCCAAGTAAAGAAAACAATCTGATACTGATTAGGTGACAAACTCAAAGGCCAGTGGGGCCCACATGAAAATTCAGAAGTAACGTCATTCATCTCTGGGCAGCTGACCTACAAAATGTTGAAATCCATTCAAAGGGGAAGAGAGATCTTAACAAATTGAGCTGCCAAAACTGACCAGTCACAGAACAGAGAAACAGGATCTATACCTTCATATACTAACACTGAAAAAAGACCTACAGCTCAATAGTAAAGCTAAAACGGAAGAGTTTCTAGAAGATAACATAGGGGCAAAACCATGAAACCCTTTTTATTTATTTCTTTATAACAAACTATCAAGCACAACTATAAATGAAGACAAACTGGGACCAACTAAACATTACTTAGCATCTTCAAAAGGTGAGTCCACAGGAGTAAATGCACAGACTGGAAAAAATGATTTGAGAATTGTGTGTGTGTGTGTGTGTGTGTGTGTGTGTACACACACACATATAATATATAACAATTCTCAAATCATTTTTTCCTGTCTGTTCAGCTCTGAAAGAATTGGCAAAAAACAAGGCCCCAAGAATTGAAGGCATACCAGTTGACATATTTCAACAAATAGACACTGCCCTGCATGTGCTCACCAAGTTGTGCCAAGAAACCTGGAGGACAGCCACCTAGCCAGCTGACCGGAAGAGATCTGTATTTGTTCCCATTACAAAGAAAGATGATCTGACAAGGTGCAAAAATTACCGAACAATAATCATTGATATCACCATGCAAACAAGATTCTAATGAAGATTACCCAGAGATGACTGGAACAGCGTATCAGTGGAGAACTGCCAGAAGTGCAAGCTGGGTTTAGAAGAGACCATGGCTCTAAGGATATTATAGCTGATGTCAGATGGATCTTATCTGAAAGCAGAGAGTACCAGAGGAATATCTATCTGTGTTTCATTGACTATGCAAAGGCTTTTGACTGTGTGGATCACAACAAACTGTGGCTGACTCTGAGAAGAATGGGAATCCCAGAACACTTGGTTGTGCTTATTTGAAGCCTATACTTGGACTAGGAGGCAGTCGTCAGAACAGAACAAGGAAACAATGAATGATTCAACATTGGCAAGGGGATACGGCAGGGATGTGTCCTATCTCCATACCTTTTTAATCTATATGTGGAACAGAGTATTCGGGAGGCTGGATAATCTATGAGGAGAAATGTGGCATCAGGATTGGAGGTAGACTTATCAACAATCTACATTACGAAGATGACACAAGCCTGCTTGCTGAAACTGAGGAGGGCCTGAAGCTCTTGCTGCAGAAGGTCAAAGACTGTAGTCTTAACTATGGATTTAATCTCAACATCAAGAAAACAGACTGGCAACATCATGATAGAGGGTGAAGAGATTGAGATTATTAACAGCTTTCGTTTGCTTGGCTCTATAATCAGCATTTTTGGTACTAGCAGGCAGGAAATCAAAAGATGACGTGCATTGGGAAAGTCTGATGTGAGGGACCTCTCCAGAGTACTGAAGAGCAGCGATATCAGTCTGGAGACTAAGGTATGCCTGATCCAGGCCATGATCTTTGCCAATTACTTGCTATGCATTGGAAAGCTGTACAGTTGACTAGTGATGATAGAAGAATTGATGTCTTTGAGTTGTGGTGCTGGTGAAGAGTATTGAATATACCATGGACTGCTAGGAGAACTAACAAGTTTGTCCTGGAGAGGATGAAGCCAGGCTGCTCCTTGGATGCAAAGATTCTGAAGCTTTCTCTGACATATTTTGGAGAGGTTGCAAGGTGGGACCCGTCCTTGGAGAGGGACATCATGCTTGGAAGGGTAGAGAAATAGCACAAGAGAGGAAGACCCTTGATGAGATGGATCAATTCAGTGACTGGTAATGGGGGTGTGTTGGAGACAATAAGATTGGCACAGGATAGAGCAAGTTTTAGGGCTGTTGTACATAGGGTCGCTATGAGTTGCAGGTGACTCAATAGCACATAACGACAACAACATACATGATAAGGGGTCTCATCTCTAAAGCCTGTGTAAATCTTCAGCAACTCAGCAGAAGATAATTTAATTTTTAAAGAAATGGGCAAGGGACAAGAAGACGAACTAGAACATTTAGGCAGCTAATAAACACATGCAAAGATGATTGTGACCAACACCTTATCTTTTTTTTAGAGAATGTTTTTTAGATACTCTGTAGTGGTCTGGAGTTAACTTGATGTCTTTAGTTGGATGTGGAAGGAATGGAGTGAGATTGGTTGCCTTGTTTATCTGAAATAAAGTAGTGAAAAAGCAATTTTATGAGGCCAACTGGATGTTGACCAACAGTTTATAATGGTTTAAATAGTTTCTTCTGAAGGTGGCCTCACATAAAATCTTAAACTCTGGGGTTGTGCATGTTCTTTTCTTAAAATTTCTGATACCTTAAGTCAGTAATCTTAACTAATGGCTGCTTCTGCATTGAGATAGCTTTAGACATTGATTCTTTCTTTCATTTACTTTACAGGTTGTTTGCATTCGCTCTACTTGGAATGCTCTCTCCCCAAAGCTGAGCTGTGACACGAGACCTCTCATTTTAAAGACCCTCAGCGAACTGTTTTCTCTGGTTCCTTCTTTAACGGTAAATACAGCTGAATATGAGGTATGTATTTGAGATCAACAGAAGAGCCATTTCTCTATTGGAAAGATGTGTGTGCTATAGTAACTCTGGGAGTAATCATTAATTTTTTTTCATAAATTCTTTTGTATTTTTACTCTGAGAACATGTTGATACCTGTATGAAGCACTAGAAGTAGGACTGCTGGTATCAAGTGTATGGTGCATATGAGTAAGATGAAGTCATTGACAGTTTTTCCCTATCTATCATGATGTCATCTATAGGTCCAGTGCTGAAAATGTTTGTTTACAGTGTTTGATCTTACATATCAAGTGTTTGAAGTACTCCTCACTTTTCAGCAAGCATGGTTGTATCATCTGCGCTCCAAAGGTTATTGAGGCGTCCTCCTCCAATCCTGATGCCACGTTCCTCTTCATAGAGTCTAGCTTCTCGAATAATTTGCTCAGCATACATATTGAATAGATGTGGGGAAAGGATACAACCCTGACACAACCTTTCTTCGTTTTAAGCCATGTACTGTTCCCTTGCTCTGTTCACATAGTAGCTTCTTGGTATAAGTATAGGTTTTAAATATTCCCTTGATTTCCATGCTCCTCCCTGTTATTGATGATTTATTATGATCCGCACAGTCATATTCATTTGCATAGTCAATAAAGCACAAATAAGGTCCATCTGGCATTGGCAGTAATTTCTGGTGCCATGACCTCTTCTGAATCCAGCTTGAACTTCTGGCAGTTCCCTGTCTATATACTGTTCTGACTGGTTTTGAATGATCTTCAGCAGTATTTTGCTGGCATGTGATATTAATGATACTGTTTGACAATTTTCACATTCTGTTGATCACCTTTCTTGGGAATGAGAACAAATATGGATCTCTTCTACCCAGCTAGCCAGCCAGCTGTCCTCCAAACTTCCTTGCATAGACTGGTAAGCACATCCAGGGTTGCATCTGTCATTTGAAACATGTCAGTTGGTATCACATTGCTTTCTGAGACCTCATATTTTGCGAATGCCTTTAGTGCAGCTTGAACTTCACCTTCCTTACCATTGGCAGTTGATCATGTGATTATTTCCTGAAATATTTCACTGTCGGCCAGTTCTTTTGGTACAGTGATTTTGTGTATTCCTTCCATCTTCTTTTGGTGCCTCCTGGGTCATTCAAGATTTTGCCCACTGCATCTCTCAGTATTGCAGGTCGAGACTTGAATTTGTTTTTCAGTTCTTTCAGTTTGAGAAATGCCAGGCAAGTTCTTCCCTTTTATTCTCCAGTTCTAGGTCTCTGCATATTTTGTTATAATAGTTTGCTTTCTTTTCTCTAGCTGCCCTTTGAAATCTCTTCAGCTCTTTTACTTCAACATCTCTTCCCTTTGCTTTGGCTTTTTGATGCTCTAGTGCAGTTTTCAGAGCTTCTTCTGGCATCCATTTTGGGGTTTGGGTTTTTTTTTCTTTTCTTCTTTTCTTTTTTTTCTTTCAACTCTGTCTTTGTAGTGAACTTTTACTCTCTTCATAGGTGAGATTATTTTTTTTTTTATAATTTTTTTCCCCCATGGAAGATATTCTTGATACCATCCCACAACTTACCTGGCCTTTGATTATTTGTGTTCAGTGCTTCAAACCGGTTCTTAAGATGATTTATAAATTCAGGTGGGATCAAGTCAAGACTATATATTGGCTCTCATGGACTTGTTTTCATTTTCTTCAATTTCATTTGTAACTTACATATGATGAACTGATCTGCAGTTAGTACCTGACTTGCTTTTGATTGCTGGTGTTGAGGTTCTGCAGTGAGTCCAGTGATTTATTCCACAGATGTAATCAGTAGTAATAATAATAATATATGTAGTCAGCCTTAATAACAACAACAATAACCAGTGCTTGGAATGTAACATATATAGACTGAGTATTTTTGGAATAAATTAATGGAGCTGATCAATTAGACATTTGATGTGATATATTAAAAAAAGAATTCATTTCTGATTCCTACAGATACTTGTTACAGTATTCTTACAGATACTTGTTATGTTGTCAGAGAGTTTTCAGAGCTCCTAATAAAGGGCTAGACCCCAGATGAGATGGATTGATATAATAACTGGGGCGACTGTGTGCACAGGGTAGGGTTCTGAGCTGCTGTACAGAGAGTCACTATGCATAACAGGCAACTCAGCCAGTAACATTCTGTGACAGGTTTGGAAGCAGGAGTGACATCCACTTCTTAAACAACTTGCCTCTGGAAACTCTATGAACTTTGATAAGTGAATAGTTGTAGAGGGGCTTCAGGCCTTTTGTTCGTAGAGTCACTGTAAATTGTGCTCAACTCGAAGGCAATCAGCAACAACAATAAAGGGCTAAGACTTCACACTGAAGTAAGGGTATGTTATGTTTATTTATATTCTTCCCCCAGGGCCTTATGTGATATATAAATACTTTCAGATTGCATTCTAATAAGTTGCTTTTATTTGAATTACATGTTCATTTATTCAGTGGTTTACACAGTGGATTCTCTTGTTTGCTTATACCTGGTAGTGAATAACTGTTTTTATTTTCTTCTCTTTATTTTACATTTCATATTTTTCCTCACATCTTATTTTTATACATCTTCTTACTTACATAGCATTAGAATGTCTCTATTCACACAGACGACTTCTGGGCTCTTCTGTCCAGGTCTGTCCTCCCACCAGGAGGCTTTTCTAAGCAGCCATAGTCACTCTGGAAGCATAATTGAAGCAAAAGTAGAAACCTCTCATGTTTTCTTTCCCTTCTCTGCTTTTTCTCCCTCTTTTTCCCTCCTCCTCTCTAGCCTAGATAATTTGTTTTCTTTTGCCTGCATAGAATTTGTTCAGATGGACCCCAGTTAAATTTAATCCTTGAAATAATCTGTTAGGTTGTTGCTGTATTCCTGGGCACCTGAGGGCCTTGTGCTTCCCTGACCCAAGCCACCCAGCATCCAGCCTTGCCCTGCTTTCCTGCACACTGCAAGCTAGGGGAGCTAAACCACTTGAAGTTTCCTAAAGCCCACTACAGAGTTCATTTTTTCCTTGGTTGATGTTGTTATCTTCTTGAAATTACCTTCCTTTTAATTTCTAATGGTAGAATCTCATCTAGAAAATAAAGCATCAGTCTAACACATTCCATCTTTTTTAGGATTTATCTGTAAGTGGGAGACTATTCTTTTTAAAGGACTTTATTCATACCAACCTTAAAATTTTTATTTATATTTTATACTTTAGATACAGTACATGACTTTATGCTGTCTGGTTTTATAGATATAAAATAGTTTGTTATTGTTGCATATACATGTTAATATGTATCTGTATTACCAAATGCATGTACTAAAGATGTATTTGTACATATTATTTACCTTTGAATTATAAGCTTGTGAAAATAGTCTATGTTTCAATTATGGTATATTTTCTGAATTGCTTTTCCAGGTCCTTAGTACATTTTCCCTTAATTTGTAATAAGATTGTGCTTGTGGGAGAAGGATGGCAAATTACCTCCTGTGGCATTTCCACTCTCTGAAAATGCACTGAAGGGTGGGCTCAGATCTAGTAGTTCAGTTCCAACTGAACAAAAACTCATTGCTTTGCAGGCCTTAAAGATATAATGAGGAATAATCGTACTATTGAACATCTAGTATATCCTAAGCATTATTCTGGTTACTTTATACCAGTTTGTCCTAAGAACTGATAGAAAAGTATTGATTTCATTTTATAAGCAAAGAAGCTCAGGGTTTTAGAGGACTATTCATTCATTAAACAAATACTGAATATCTGCCATGGGCCAGACAAGTAACTTGACCCAGAATTTTAGTTACTAAATGAAGAGCTGATGTCTTGGTCCAGGACTTCGTAACTCCACAGTCTGTGCTTTTCTCTTCTACTGTGTTGTCACTTTCTCCCCTCTAGAAGCTCATAGGTTTGTGAAGGAGATGCAATGATAATTATAGTAACATTTGATGAGTATCAGTCATGGACTGATGAGTGTCCCTCAAAAGAGTGAGTTCAGAACAATACCTAGCCTTCTGAGACGTCTGATGGGAAATCATCTTTAGTTGATATTCTTTGGCGTGGTCAGTGAAGAATGAGTACACTGTTCCTTCCCAATGAAGTTTTGGAAAATAAAATGTGCAAAAGGAAGATGATACAGGGATACCTGACATGGTTTAGAAGAATAGGAAGTTAGATGTGGCTGAAATGAAGGTGACACCGAGAAGACAATGGCCTTTTTCTAATGTTCATTTGTTTATTTGATAGTCATCATCTTGGAAGAGTTGTTGTAGGCTCTGTGTTTAGGCTTCTGAAATGAGAAAGACATAATAAGCTGCCCCCAAAAATGTGTAACCAAGTAGCAAGTAAATCCCTAATGTGAACACATACATGAAATGGCCATAGGAGATGCTGACACGTGCCACGTGCCCATCTGTGACTGTAGACAGAGAGAGGACTCTTCTGAGTGAGAGGAAAGCACCCAGAGGCATGGAAGTGGCTAGAGATGCATGCGGCAGAACCTGAGGGTGACCGTAAGAAAAGATTTAGAAATTGACTAGTCTTAGCATCTCTGTGTTCAAACAGGTATTAAGATTATGTATTTTTAAATATTTTCAGTTTATGAGTGAGTGGTAAATAATTAAGTTACTAATGAGCGATACAAGTTGTCAGATTTAGCTTTATCTTACATATTTATTCTGTTGTTTTCTGACTTTTCAGAATTTCAAAGTTCAAGTTCTCAGCTTCCTCTGGAATCATTCTCAGAACAAGGTATTGACTAGGTGTCCGTGAAACCAAACAGAGCTTGTGAAATAAGTCTCTTTTTTTGAGGGGCAGAGGGTGTTTTGTGAAATGAGACTCTTACCATGAAAGATAAAGCTCTTTTAAATTATTAATATTAAAAAGAATTGTGATACTAATAAGTAGAGATTTTAAAAATTATTGTCAGTTGATGCTCTAAAGTAAAATTATGCCATGAAGTAAGCTTATATTCTATGACTCCCACAAATGCAAAGGCCTGTTGTCATCGCCTAGATTTATCTGGACCTCTGCTTTTCATTTTTCCCTTTGTCTCACCAACAAGCATCCTGAACCAACAAGGAAAAATATCAGCCCATTTTTTAAGATGACTTTTTAAATCAAGGAATATAGAATGAAGAGGATATGTAGATGAAGAGGATATGTCGTTTTGTACCCATCTCATGAATGAAAGAGCTTCAATTCCAAAAGCTCAACTTGGTACTGTTAGTAAGCAGAGAATAAAAGCTGAAACTCACACCTTTCTGACTCTACTAAACCAAATTACCGCTTAAGAACTTCAGCAGACATGAGTTACTTTGTGTTTAATGTCTAAGCTAGGATAAAAATTTAGTGAGCCTGGTCCTATTCCTAGTGGTATTTAATTTCCATTTTGTGACTAGGATGTGTTTACAGAGAAATAATTAATGGAAGTAATTTTACCTATTTGTTCTTATTTCCTTTCCCAGGCCCTTTTCACTCCTGCCTTCATGTATATTTTTGAAATGAAGATAAAGCTCTCTAATCTCTTTCTGACATTGCTAGTTTCTAGCCTTTTGGCCAAAATTAGACTTAATGCCATTATTGAAGCACTACCTATTGTTAGTAGGATCACTCTGACTCGTATTTGACTTGATGGCACCCAAGCCTGCAGTTTGGAAACTTTAAGGTCATAGAAAATGTTATCTTAATTTCTCCATATTTGATATTTATTATGCATTTTTTTCCTTTTCTTTGTTTGCTTTTCTTTTACTCCTCTCTAGGACCCAGTTGTAGCAAAAGCCGCATATAAATCTCTTTCGTGCTTCAGTGCAGGGGACCACACCATTCTTCATCTGCCGGAAAAGGTAGGCATCTCTGAATCTCATCTTATCTGTTAGTGCTGGATTTTACAACTATGTCTATATCTTCTCTCAGGACATCGTTACTGACTGCTGCTACATATGTAATTATGTGTGTATTACCTATAAGATATAAGAGTTTATCTTCCTAATTAGTTTAATCTCATAAAGATCATAGAAGTCTTAGACTTCACAGATGATGAATTGAAATCTCTTTGGACCAGATGGAAGGCATGTATGGTGAAAATAAAATCTGCTTCAGGTAACTGACCTGTGTGCTTGTTCCAATGGCTTCCTCCAGAGAGTGTGTATGACAGTAGGCATAACTTTGCCAATTTAGCATGCCATCGTGAACATTAAGTTCAAGCAGGACCTACAAATACTATTATTTATACCCTGTGTGCAGGCAGAGATGTTTGTTTATGATGAAAAAGTAGAATGCTATATGCAAAAATAAAACCCACCCAGAAAACCCAAAACTATTGAATAATGTGAAAAAGATACGGTAACCCTGAAGAACTACATGAAAAATTATCAATACAAAATATGACATTGTCTTCATTTGTAAGTAAACTAAAGGCATACAATAATTTATGCAGAGCAGATTATCCGAGAGACTAGGCTCTATGAGGAGAAGCGTGGCATTAGGATTGGTGGACAATCTATCAACAATCTGCGT